TCATAGCAGCTGTGGAAGCGAACCGACTGCTCCTGCAACAAAGAGGTGCTGCAGCAGCAGAAATACCCGCTACACATGGAAAGAAAAAATACATTTTGCTGCGTTTAAAATCTTTGTGGAAGCTGAAGGGGAGATTGATGGATACCTGGTTGATTTCCAAAGGCAATGTGCCCTACACCAGGTACCCACAGACGAATGGGTTACCATCTTATCTGGAAAGTTATCAGGCAGTGCAAGCGAAGCCTTCCGAGCCATCCCAGACGAGGAAGTTACAGATTATGGCTTAGTGAAAGAGCCCTCTTGGCCAGGTATGTTGTTACCCCAGAAGCATACCGGAGGAGGTTTTGGGACACTAACAAGCAAAGCGGAGATTCATACACCGAGTGGGCATGCCGTATACCCAGCACGGCAGCCTACTGGGTCGCTGGATGCCAGGCTGTATCCGGGGAAGAAGAACTACAATTGTTCCTGCTGGAACACTTCTACAAGAGGCTGACCACAGGGGTCCACGACAGGAAACCCCTCACCCTACCCGAAGCAGCTCGCTTGGTGGATGAGTATACCGATGGTCACAAGGTTGACAACCAGATGGCCAAACAGTGGCTTGTATGGACTACCGACCAGTGGTATCTACCCCAACGGCTCCACCACCAACACCACAGTCCTACTGGCACACAGCACCCGCCCCGGCTTCCAATTATTCCCAGCCACCGAAATTTAATGCCCGCAATTATTCCCAGCCTGTGAGGTGTTTCGGTTGTGACCAGTTTGGGCACCGAAAGCAGGACTGCCCATTGAACCCAGCCAGGCAGTCTCAATCCTGGGGGAACCCCCGCCCAGCAGTACCAGCTGCCAACTGCATTGAAGAAGAGGAGTGTTGGGCTATCCTGCACAAGGCTGACCCAGTGCAAGCTGCTAACTGGGACAACAGACAGCCGTCCGGGTTAATTGGAAGGCAGCCACTGGTTTAAGGGATACTGGTGCCACCATGACCCTGCTACAGAAAAACCTAGTCTCTGAGAATCAACACATCGGAGACACTCTAGCCGTAAGGGTGGCTGGAGGCACCGTTTTTCGGCTACCCGTTGCCCGTGTTCACCTGGATTGGGGGGTTGGTTCGGGACATGTGAACGTGGGAGTAATGAAGTATTTACCAGCAGATGTACTACTTGGAAATGACTTGGAACCCCTCGTTTCTGCTTACTGAAAGGTAAATCTGCTACTCTGGTGACTCGTTCCCTCTGGTCACTGTTCTCCAACCCTCGATTGTCTACTGAATATTCAAGGAAGAATTACGGAAGCGTAATAATGAGACACACACAAGTTGCTTTCCAAAAGTCTTCTGACAATGTATTCAAATGCTTTGTATTTATACAGTGTTTGTCACGAACATTGGTTACAAAAAATGCATACAAAGGAAATAGTTCCTGCTGTTACGTGCAATAATCTATTCTTACAAAATATCACATATACCTTGTGGCTAAGCGCATCCTGTTACATAGAAACTGTTATAGCTTGTGACTTCCTTTCAGTTATGTTTTGTAAGCGGTTCTGCAAAAGAGCTTGCTACTATATTTGCAAAATAATTCAACTTACAGAATACTAACTGATTAACTGTTTCAATTCCTTTCATTCCCCCTCTTTGAGCAATATTTTGCTCATACCCTATTAAGGAGTCCTGGTCAGACAACTAGCCATCTGCCATGGTATATTCAGGATTGCTAGCCAATCCTGCAGGTCTTTTATTATGTCTTCGGCCATTATTCCCATAGCATAGGACTAGGCATTCGACCAGTACCATAAACCTATAGATATGTATCAGCATGTTTACCATTGCAGTTATATGTGTATACATTTTGAGATATTCATCATAGCAAGCTGGGGATTTTGCAGGAACAGTGTTGTGTGTATGTTTGTAAATACAGAATACAATAATCTTAAAATATGGGCAAAGTATATTATTCCCAACAGTTGTTTTCCTCCTTCGTCCACGGAAGTGGGTGCATATAGTCAAAGTGGGAATAATACCTATCCCCCGTCCAAGGACCGGGGTCTAGGATTACCAGTCCACCTGATGATCTGGGGCCAGGAAAAAAATCCAGTGGCATATTTGAGGAAAAAGCACATCTGGGGAAAACTTGAGTGGGGGCCGCGATCGTGTTAGACAGGTCATCCCCTCAAGGTTAACACCACTTATGACTTATAATACCCGTAACTGTGAGTACATAGCTCGGGTATCGGGAGGAATTGGGAAACACTTCTTACATATTAATTAATTAGATAAATTATAGTCTAGCTTGAAATTCTGACAATAATCACAACCAGGACCTTGTGTCCTATACCTTTTAACCATTTCCCTATTCCAAAGGTCCAGTCAAAACCCGTCATATCCTCACGCAGTTCCTTAAAACATGGGAATCCATCCTTGGCGCACTCAACATATATCAAAAACACACATAGTACATCCATCCCTGGGTCAGCTAACACTTCCTCTCTCTGGCTAACTAAATAAAAATAGTTCAATAGTTCAGCATAGTTCAGAAAAATAGAATAAGTCTTTCACAGAGTATAAAGAAATCAGTTTAGACACCAGACCTTTTGTTCCATAAAATGGATAAGGGTAGCAATATGGCTGACAACAAGACAATGTCAGCTTCCACATAGTTCTTCTTTTGTTTGCTGGATTTTCACCATAATGCTCTGTGCAACACCCCGATGGTTGAAAGGGTTATTATAGAACCAGCGGTATTAGACAGCACTGCACCTTCAGGACTTTCCAGGTTCTTGCGTGCAAAGTTTATGTCCTCATAAATAAGTATCTCAGTTTCTTCGGCCTGCATGGATAATGACCAAACAGATGTAATTGCAAAATACTTATTGCATGGTCAGCCAGAGAGATTGGTGTGTAGAAAGCAGGCGGCACAAACACTCCAGGACGGTCTCTACAATCATACAAACATGAGGATCAATACAACATCAATTAATTAATTACCTAGGCTAAAACTTAAATTAGAGATTAAGGTTAAACCCTAAATTTGTGTAACATGTACTTCTCTTATATTTGCTTATATTTTATGCAATCTGTCTTCTATGAAGTTTTACATAATACCCCTTTGGAATGCCTTTGAACGGATGAGAGAAGCACTCACTCTATAGAAATGCTTGTTAGGATGAATATTAAAACACTAACATATACATATGGAGATAATTCCCAATAAAACTCTGTTCCTAAACTTGAACCTTGATTTGATACTCAAAATTAATTACTTTAATAATCCCGAATAATTCAATACTCTTGGATTAACACCTAAAACTATATAAAATATTAAAACATGAACCATCTGTGTATTAGGCTGGGGTTGTTGGGTGTGGGTATAGGTTTGAAGCTGTGGTTGGCATTGAGGAATCTGTGGGGGTGGGTTTGGGCACTCATTTTTCCAGTGACCCTGCTATCCACAATTAGAACAGTGTGTTCCACCAATGCTGAAGTTGCTACCTCTACAAAAGTTAGACCCTTTGACCAAATCCTCCACCTCTGCCTTTAAAACTTTTCTGATTCAATCTCCTATCACTTCCCAAATTTCTTTGTCTCGCCTGCTTAGGATCACAATCCTTGTGACTGATACAACATACCTTTTCCTTCTTTCTTTCTATCAAAACAACTTGCTGTATCTTTCTCATGAATCTTCCCAAGAAATTCATTAGGGGTCAAAAAGGGCCAGTCACAGACCAACAAGGAACAAAAGTGAACAAGGAGGAAGCATATTCCATATGCAGGTCGGGTTTACCTAACTTACACCCCCTCTTTGTGTACCACACAGATATAATATTAATAAGCTTTTAAAGGTTTAATGTATAGTTAAATTGTGTATATAAAGCAAGGTTGTCTAGGGGTATATACATCGATAGGGCTTGCAATACTGACAGTCTGTGTCATGAGCATAATGCAGACATGCGGTTAGGTACTTTTCCATTATTATAATATATTGAAAACACTAAGACCTTGCAAATTTTTAAAACGCATATTGCTTCCTGTACCTGGTGCCGTGCAAGGATGTAGTTGGGACATATTTCAAATTGAGTATCAAAAGTCTAACCACAAAACTAAATGTTATACGCTTATCAAGAAAACAAGTTTAACCCGTTAGTGAATACTCTGGATAGCCTCTTTTCATAATTTAGCACCTAGTGAGATTATTATATTATTTATTAATCCTCTTCTGGATCTGCAAAATGCTTTCGATTTACCCATACAAATATAATACAGTAGTTTAGGAGATTTAAAATTACCTCACTTATAAATATCAGAAATTGTCTAATCTCTATTAAAAATACAATGTTATTATTACCCCATAATCAATGAGGCATACTAGATGAATCTTACTTTGACACAGACAATGCAATATACTTTAAAAGTAGAGTTAACTCTGAGTTGGACAATACTCCCCTATTAGAACTCCTTTATGAGGGAGAGACATCTTGTCCATTCAATCCTTTTTATCAGTAAAATAATGACTTTCAGGATTAATCAATTTGCAAATGGAAACGTGGATCCACGATTTGAACAGCAGAAGTTTGCGGGGCCCCTTTCACGTGGGATGTAACAAGCGCTTTTCTTGCTCCAGGAGCGATAGCATACAATTGTTTAATTCTAGCCGGCTTGGCAGCATTTCACCTTTTGTAAAAACACTAAATGCTTGCGTTAATGATATGCAAATCACTCTGTTAGTTAAACTCCTACACAATGGACAATAAAATACATGAAACACATAACACACCAATTCATTTCAAACCATATAACTCATACTCCGCATCCAATGTAATATTACACATCATCTCATCTCACAAAACAGACATCTCACAAAACAGACATAGTAGAAACACATAATGGATACCCAGCAGATATGCCAATACAGAAAACACATTCATGGGCATGCAACTACACACTCCGTGTCCCTCCTAGGAAACACAAGTAGACACAATATGAAAGCAGTCTTAAACTAACACCTCCAAATCTCCATTCCCATACCTAAGCCTTTTAAAATAATAATAAAAATTTCTGCAAACTGTGGAAGCAGACACCTAGCATCGAAGATAGAACACAAAATGTTGCAAAAGAACAGAAAAGATTGTAAGAAACAGGAAGTCAACTAAGGCAACCACAACAAATATCTACATCAGACCACAACACAGAGCCTCTCTGAGCTGATAGAACTACTCCAACTCCAACTACTCTTGGCCAAAACACTAGTGTTCAATAGCTAATAAAACAGTTATTTGCTAGGTTATTTGGCTGGCATTCTTATCAGTATCACTAGACTGAGACAAACTGATTCAAATATAATTTAAAACAACACAGCAACATATAAATTAATACACTCTCCAGTTAAGCTGCACACGTCACACATTATCACAGTCACCATTTACACAGAATAAACAGTTAAGAGCTGTATTCAGAACATATTATTGTAAGGTATACTGTGATGGGATTCCAGCATGGTTAAAATTTAGTAGGCCAAAATCTCCATGTGGCATATGTGTATGTTGTGTCAGTTGGTTAGCTACATGTAGCTAGGATACTGTCATCAGTGTACTGAGCATGTGCAGGAATGCAGGAACTGAAATTGCACTTATTTCCTTTGTCTTGGATGAGCCATGTGGTTTGACTAGATGTACAAGTCTATATTCTGCTCATTGATTGGTTAAAGGTATATGTGGGTGTAGCTATTAATGGGAGGAGTTATGTGCCTATATAGGGAGCCTGCACTATTGTTCAGGGCTCAGAACTTGCTGTATTTTTGGTGACATTAGTCCCTCTGAGTCCCGATCGGTGATCCAATAAAGAATCTCCTCCTTCCTGAAGAAACCTGTGTCCATCTCTCTGTGCTTTGCTTCCGTCAGTTTCTCCGGTATCATTTGGTGCATTGGCCGGGAAACTCATCGTTCAACGGTAGCTGAGAGGCAGAGGCGTGAGACGGTCTATCTTTGCCCACGTTCTCTACGGCTGCACCCCTGAACTTCTGCGTGGACCTCCCTTCGTCTCGGCGCCACTGGTCTGTTGTCCAGGAGATCATCGGCCTCTACGTAAGAAGTGCTGGGGTGTCCCCGTCGATGAGTGTGAACTCAGGTTCAGGAACGAGGAGGTAAGACAACTGCTGTTTTAGACGGCAGACCCACTAGGGGTATACCGATTGTGCGGTAGGCCCAAAGGGGTTTAAATCTGTGTATGGAATCTGCCCCCTCTGTCGGAGGGAAGGAGCGAAGGCGCACCGCTCGATCGAACGCTCTTTAGTAAGACCGTTTGATCTGGTTAGTCAGGCGGGGTCCTGTGTAAATAGCCCTAGCCGGACACCGGTGTCTTGTCTAGACTAGCGTTCTAGGGTGTATATTACGTTCGCTAGGTCGGAGGGACCGGGAGACTAAGCGGCGCCTGTGTAAATTCGGTTCGCTAGCTCTCAACCTATCTTGGCTAAGTGGGAAGGCGTGTAAATTTGGAACCCACTAGACTTTTGATAGAGTAAATAGACTAGAAGGGCAATTTCAGCCCTCTAGTTCGCTATATGTGGTGCTTGGGCAGTGTGGCTAACCAAAACGGGTGTATATAGTTTTAGGTAGTCTATTCAAGGTACTGGCCAATAGTTTAGTTGGGATTATTGTAAATGTTGTTAAATATATTGTAGTTGGTGAATTGGTTAACTTGTATGTCCTACTAGAAAGTTAGAGCTCTGCTGTCTAGTGGGAGTGTAAATTGTGTGTATAACTGTAAAATAGCGCACGGTACCATAACTACTGACATGTACCATAACCACTGACATTGTGTAAAAATTACTAACAATTGCTGTTTTATGTTATATGTATAATACCATAACTGTTACTAACTGATCTGTGACTTTAAAACTGTATTATAACCACTTACTAACTGTACCATAACCACTGACTGTAAAGATGAGGTTACTAGAATGTGATATAGTTGGTTAGTCAAAAGTTGATTTATAGTACAGATAATTGTAGAGATGAATTTGTTGAAATGTTATGTGATCGGTTAGTTTATATGGATTAATAGCGTGGATAGTTGTATGGTTTGAATAATAGTTACATTGATAAGTGTATAGTCTTTGGTGGGTTTTTGATTTAATTTCGTGTGTGCGACGTCGTGATATTGTTGAGCATGTGAGGATCCTGTGTGTGTGTTTGGGCCTAGTGACTGCGCAATGTGTTGCTGGTGATAAGGAGATTGGTGTGACTGTTGAAACTGTGTGTATATTTGTACAGCTTTTTGAATCAGACGTTCTGTTGAAATAATCTGATTCACTTGGCTGTTAGTCTTTTGTCTTGTATGTTTAAAAAAAAAAAAGTAGGGAGTAGCTTGTCCTGGTGGCCGCATGGCCTCCATGTAGCAGTCTTCACTTAAATTTAGTGCAGAGTGTACATGTGGCTGTAACTAGTAGGCTGAAATTCTATGATCAGTTTCTATATATTGACTGTTGGAAACTGATTGTTGCCTTGGTGAATTAAACTGTGTCATATGGGAAACAATGTAGCCACATGGTGGTCAGAACTAAGGACTTAATTACAACTGCTTTGGACATCCCCTCCCCCCCTGGCATCTGATTACCAACCCCCCAAACATCCTCCAGAGCCAGATTAGCCACGCCCATTTCTGGCTGGTATAATCAGTATTTGCACTCCCCTGCTCTACTGTCCCCGCCTACCCACATACCTATCTGTTCCTGTGTTTCAAACTCTTGTATTTCTGTACTACCCCTCCCCCTAATCAATGATCAATGGTATCAGATGGTATATTGGTTTTTTAGTTACTGGATGGGCCCCTCCCAGCTTTGTCCAAAATGTCCCCTTTTACTAAACTACAAACTGAAATGTTTAATTTACCTTAGAACTAAAGATTTAATCAAGCCTAGCTAGCAGGGTGGACATTGATTAAAATAAGTAATAATAAAATAGGACATAATTAATTAAAGTCTATTTGTTTCATTTGACTTTAGGGAGGCACTCTAAGCCACCTACTGGCCATCTTCGGGAGTTACATTGATAATACATTGTTTATAACAGATAGATGTAGGATTGCTTACCCTATTTTAATATATTTATTGCTATAAGGTTTTATTTTATGTATAAATATATTAAAAGTTGAGTTTTCTTATTAGACCCATAAAGATTATTTTGATACAATTACCCTCTGGTGACACCTACTGGTAGGTTTTTGGTTTAACACTTTAAAAAAAAAACAAAAAAAAACGTTTTTTCATCCACCAAATGCTGACTAATAAAATTATCTTACTACTCCTAGACTGGAACCTATTATTGGGCAGCCTTGCCGAAGTCCCATATTAGACACTGCTTGAGTCAAATAGGTTGTATACTCCCTTTAATCCAGAGGCCCCTGAAAACTTCCGAATGATAGACTCAGCATTTGTCAGCCAGGCCCAAGGTGATAGTAAAAGGAAATTAAGAAATTAGAGGGATTTGTAGGGATGTCCATAATACAGCTAATGGAGATTGCAAATACAGTATATATGAATAGGGAGATGGAGGAAGAACGTAAAATGAGGAAAAAGGAAGTTATGCTAGCGGTAGCTATCTTAAGTGTAGAAAGACAGGGAAGTGAATAGAGGAGACGAGAATAGGCTGAGCAAGGGACTTTAAGTAGGAATTAATGTGCGTATTGTAGAAAGGAGGGACATTGGAAGAGTGAGTGTCCACAGAGAGAGCAGTATGAAGGTGATAGAAAAGGAGAGAGAAGGGTACGAGGAGGTTATAGTGGTAGTTATAGAGTAAGAGGAAGTTTTAGAGGGAATGGTGGGAATAGTAGAGGAAGTGTTCAAGGAGACAGATACTATCCACCCACACAGAGACCTAGAGAAAGAGAGGATAGAGATTTTGTGGGTCTGGCTGACACTATCATGGAAGACTATTGATACCGACTGGGCTCCATCCCACTTGGTCGAGCGGAGCCTATGGTCGATGTAGCAATAGGGGGAAAGAAGTTCTTTCATGATCGACACAGGTGCTGAACATTCTGTGGTGACTAAGATGGTGGCTCCGCCTTCGGGGAAGACTATAACTGTGATAGGAGCTACTGGGAGAAGTGCAGCTAGCCCGGTTCTTAAGAGTCGCACTTGTATTCTGGGAGGCCATGTGGTGAAGCATTAGTTCCTATATATGCCAGAGTGTCCGATTCAACTTTTAGGACGAGATCTATTATCGAAGCTTCAAGCCCAGATAACCTTTTTACCTAATGGATCAACATCTCTGAAGTTTAAGGGATTACCAGGCATAATGGCGATATCGGTGCCAAGGGAAGAAGAATGACGCTTCTATTCCATAGTGACAAGTGTTAACCCTAAGAGTGATGAATCCTTACTTGACATTCCAGGAGTATGGGAAGAAAATAATCCTCCAGGACTTGCTCGTAATATCCCACCAATACATATTGAGTTAAAGTTCGGGGTGTATCCTGTTAGCCTTTGTATGTTGTTCTTTTATCTACCCCAACAGCTGTAAAGGTGGCGGAAGTGACTCCTTGGATTCATCATTCTAAGGTTAAACCAGCAGCAGACTCTTGGCAAACTACTCCAGATCCTGAGAATCCTTGCAGGACCCGGTTGAAGCGTACAACTTAGTCGGAGTGACGAGGGGATATCGAGACATTCTAATTAAAAGTCTACAAAGATCATCAAGTAGGTGTTTTGACGGCCATAATAAAGCCTGACCACCTGCATACGTGTCATAGCCAGAGTATCTTGAAGGGATCTCTGTGAAGGAAAGTGAGGATCAGAAGAACAACATCCTTGCAGCCCTCACAATCGGGAAGCTGAGAGGCCATCGCACGGTCGAAGAAAAATTAGGATTTCAGGAATAATGTGTTTTATTGTGTCTTAGTATTTTTATGATTTTTCAGGAAGGTAGGAGTATAGACATACCGAATTGCGATAGTTGCATTAAGACTACTAAAACAGGTAACCAAATATCCCAAACTTTCATCTGGCACTCACAGTATGAATGTAAGGGATCTGTATCTAAATGTAGATATTTGGATATTGATTATAGTGTGTGCAAGCCAATATCAGGAGAGTCTAAATGTTTTGATCCCCATTTCCAACCCCGTACAATTTGGTTGGTAATTCGGAATAGTAACTCCCAGGGGACATTAATAAATAGGACTGTGATAAGCACCATACATTCCACGGGT